TTAAAAATGCAGCCTTTTGATTGGTGAAGAGATTAGATTTTAGTGATTAACCAATGAACTATAGTGATCTTGAAATAATTTAGTTTGCTTCTCTGGAACAGGGTCTATAGACTGTTAATGTTTGATCACCGCTCCAGATTTAATACTCCAGTCTTTGTATCGCAATCTAGAACATACACTCATGTACCTTCCCGGATTTGTCGTTTGGTCCTTGTATTTGAATGAAAGTCACATTTAAAAATCGTAACTTTAAAAAATGTCATCCCCTTGTCTTCATCTTGAAACGCACCGTGACACTGAGGTTTATTGCTATCAGGAACAAGCTATAACATCAATCATGTCGTGTCTTCCTTATTTTAAATTATCACATGATGCAAATTTATAAATAATATTCAACAATTTCATGTCATTTCAAATATATCATCTTTGTTCTTCCTTTTTGAAACAAGCCAAGACACAAATTCCTTGACTGCTATTGCTACACGTATGAAATCTGGAAAAACAAATACCCCTATAAACCCCGCCACAAGTAGAATAGAACTTACTCCCAGTGACATGCTAGAAACACGATCATCCTTGGCGCTGTTTTTCTTTGCTTTGGTAGCACTTAGTTTCGCTACATCCACGTGGAGATCATCATTTATAGCTTTTATTATCCTGCGAACTTCTTCAGGCGTTTTGCTAGGTTTACATTTGCAAGGGCACATTTTCCTACCACCCGGTGGTATTAGAGGATTATAATATGCTGTAGTAGGTGCTACTGATGATGACGCTGGATTTTGTGATGATGTCACAATGTTTTGGGATGATGTCCCCTCTGGTGTTTGAGATGACGTCACCTCTGGAGTTTGAGAAGACGTCAGCATATTTTGTGATGACATCACTGAATCTTGTGATGACATCACTGAATCTTGTGATGATGTCATCAAATCTTGTGATGATGTCATCAAATCTTGTGATGATGTCATCGAATCTTGGGATGAATAAGAGGATGACCGATCAGTACTACTTATTGACGAAGTTAGAGCTGGTTCCGGCATTATCCTTGTTGAGGGTGACACATCTGTTGACCAATCAGACAAAGAAGTAGTTGATACCAAGATTTCAACAGAGCTAGATTCTTCTTTCTCGAGAACTAAAACGTACAAAATTTAAGAATTATGGCGAGCAAATACATTAATGGTCGGGGGAGGTGGGATTCAACTGTATTCCGATTTGACAGTTTTATTGAAGCCTATTCTATTGCTATTTGAGAGATTTTGAACCCCTTGCGACTACAATATTGTGGAAATTTGAACGGATAAGAACGAGATATTCTCAAAACGGCAGTAAATTAAAACGGCCAAAATGTGATTCAGAATTATTTAAGTACTAGCGGTTGATCAGGCTTAGTAATTAACCGGAAGTAGCATAAATCCAAAACCGGAAGTGGTAGGCCATCCGAACCTCAAACTCATCAGTGGGTCTCCAACTCTATGTTGAAACAAGATAATACGCTAGTGGCCCCTAGGCCAATGACCTACTATGCCTCTTTGGAAATCCGACCTGCAATTTATGCCTAGGTCGAAAACTAAATGGGACCCATGTGGCGTCGAACTCGATCAACACAATAACCAATTCTACTTACAACAATCTATATAGATATAAATCCACGTAGTATTGATGGTATTTTGGGACTGACAAAATAAAGTTATGTCATCCGAATTACCACATATATCATCAATGTTTCCTGGTTCTAGGGTGAATCCCCTTTTATCGTCAGCTAATCTGGTTGTGGTCCATTTAAAACATTCTCTATATGTTACTGGATCAAATGATCGAGTTCGGTTTAAAAATATTGGTTCTTCGAGAACAGTCGCTGGAAGATAAAAAAAAAATCAAATAAGAGAGCTGAATGCCCGTAGTATATATCTGTAAGTCAAAAGTTTCCAATCAGATTCCGCAGCAAAGGTTTGTTAAACTACAAATTCCTGAAAGAGGCCTTTGGGTTTTCGGGAATCGTTGCTGGAAGATCAAAAAGAATTCAAATATGAGAACTACATGAATTTCAAGCGGACCTCTGGGAGTCAAAAGTATCCGATCGAATACCGCAGCAAAGATTTGTTAAGATATAAATTCCTGAAAGAGGACCTTCGAGAGAGAGAAAATCTTGTCTGTAAATATATAGAGAGAAATGGGGTTTTACGTCCACTTAACACAAACTAGGTCACTTTGGGACTAACACATGGTTCAATTTTATTTCAATAATTCACTTGCGAGTAGGGGTCTTTAGCAGTGGGAGGAAACCGGAGGACCCGGAGAAAACCCAGGAGGTTAGACAGGCGACCCTATTCCTTGTCACGTACAACCGGGGATTCAACACCACGCAATTTGACTCAATGACAGGCCTTATAATAAAGCATGCACGTGCTAACCATTCGCCCCCCCCCCACCGTTTGACCCTCGAGAACCGTGGGAAAAATGCCAAGAGTACTGATGGAAGTAAAACGTTTCCAATCAGACGGTGTTTGATCTTGGAGAACCTTTGCTGGGAATCAAATAATATTCAAATAAGAGAACCGAATGCTAAGAGTACTTCTGGAAGTCAAGCGTTTCCGATCAGATAACACCGCCTCCCCCCCCCCCACCAAGGTAGCAAAGGTTTGTTATAAGTTCCTGAAAGAGGGCGTTGATCATCGAGAACCATTGCAGGAAGATATAAACATGATTTTAACTGGGTGCCATACATTATCCTGGAAATAAAACGAATGACCCCCCCCCCCCCAGCCCACCAAGGTAGCAAAGGTTTGTTTTAAGTTCCTGAAAGAGTGAGTTGATCTTCGAGAACCATTGTAGAAAGATATAAACATGATTTTAACTGGATTCCATGCATTATCCTGGAAATAAAACGTCCTTTTTTCTCCACCAACAGGGATAATAAAGATCGCCATGCGCCACTCAATATGCTATAGCATATGCTCTTCATTAGCATGATTGACATAATATGTGACAAAGTGCTGCATAACTTGTATCATCTTAAGACTATATCAGATGCATCGAACCAATTTGAACCCCACATGTGCAAACCCATTGAACCCCACGTTATTGATCTACAACATACGTGATACTGTCCACTACATATACACGTCCAATGCATGTATTTAATTACGGACTTAATAATTGCCACGTGTAGTAACAATGCCTGGATTTAATACAATGCACAGTTAGCTACACAAAGGCATATAAGACCCCGAGACCAGAGACTTGGTTAGAGGGGAGCGTAGAGAAGCAGACGGGGGAGGAGACGGGCGTATGGACTCACCCGAGTTCAGCTGCTGCCGTGGCAGAGGGGCGGAATGGTTGTCTTAAAGTAGCAATGTACTGTGTTTATATTCTTATTTATGTTCCTGTTGTATTGATGTAGCTGTTTTATATTCTATTCCCGATGTAAATAAATCCTATATTTACGAAACTGGGCGCTGTTATCACTAACAGTGTTACAAGTATGTTTAAGCCCATGCATTGCACTCCATACAAAATTCCTGCCAATTTCCATCGAGTTTCACCGTCTTCATTAAGACAGTCGGTGCAGAAATGTAGGATGTCGATAGAGTCAAATCACACGTACTCAATGAACGAGAATATATAGTTATACATAAAAAAAACCCAGTGATATTTTGGTTAAATCATAATCAATGTCAGAATATCCATCAAATTCTGGCTATTTATTGACCTATGGTTGGTAGATTAAAATAAGGTAATGTCTCCTATTTTAGTAATGGGATATAAAGAGGTTTATTCCATATATGGGATGGAAATTAAGGTCAAGGTCAGGGTGTAGAGCGAGTTGGATCAGAGCTCATTCAGAAATTCCTAGCAGCCATTATTATTGAGAACGAGGAACCTGCAAAGCTATTACAGATAAGCAATAAAGTTGTAAAACTATTTTATGCTGTAGTCTTGTTACGATCACCAAGAAATAAACACAACCAGAAAGAAGTCTTATAGTACTTCAGGACCCCAACCTATCGATGACTACCGAATATAACATGGGCTAGGTGGCGTTGGACTACTGCTTCCGGTTTCGGAGTTATGCTACTTTAAACCCGTGCAGTGCTGGGTCATCCGCAGTGTTTTCATAAAATTGCTTTGTTTGTGTTTCAGAGGATCCCGACCTATCGATGGCTCTACCGAATATAAAATGGGCTAGCTAGGTGGCGTTGGACTACCACTTCCAGTTTCTGAGTTATGCTATGTTGTGTTTGTGTTTTAGAGGATCCTAACTTATCGTTGATTCTACTAAATATAACTATGATAGATGATATTAAAGGGACAATAACACTCTTGCTGGCCTGACAGCTCCAGAAAATAAAAAATAGCCTTATTCTAAGTACAGATGTGTTAGTGTCCTACCTGTTGAGTAAATTATCCATTAAATCCTATTTTACTTGTCCAAGGGGTTCAAAAATATTTCTAAATCCAAGTCACATTTGAAAAGCTTTACGTCAGGCTTTTCGAATCATTTAGTTGAATTTTTCCAATTTTTTAAATTAGGTGTGTTATGATGAAATTTGTATCATCAATTAATTGGAATATTGTAAAATAGCAAAATTTGTTGACCAGAATAAAGATTGGGACATATTATTCAGTTACAACAAGAGTGGTATTGAGCCTTTAATATATTAACTGATGATACCTGTACTAACTCATCTATATCTATTCTAGCTTTAACTTAGATAAAGTCTATGAAGTCTCCCTATCGGGTAAACTCAGGTAGGGGTGGATTTGGTAGTCGAGCGGTAACTTAGATAAAGTCTATGAAGTCTCCAGAGTAGTGGTGATCGTGTCAGGTGAATTCATTCATTATATCATACTTCTATACCGACTGGGCTAATGAAGACTGGCATACCACATACAGTGTGCTGTGAGAGACATTTTGCCTGGACAGCGGCACTACGGCTAATTGTTATTTCGAATTCCAATGCAATTCTAATAATACCAAATATGGAACTTACGACATATCGGTATATAGCATTCTTCATATTGAGTATTTGTTTTGGTGTAACACCAGACCTTTGTATGAGATCTTCCAGGATTTCTACAGTACGGTTTACGTTGTCCACTTGGGAAGGATTGGCCAATAAACGGCTGTTCTGTCATGCCATGTTCAAACGATGAACACCTCGTGCCACTACGGGTTGTACGTATCTTCCCTATATAATCAAAGCCGTCATCCTTGTTAGAGCAAATCTTGTCTGTAAATATATAGAGATAAATGGGGTTTAACGTCCACTCGACACAAACTAGGTCATTTCGGGACTAACATATGGTTTAATTTTATTTCAATAATTCGCTTGCGCGTAGGGGCCTTTAGCAGTGGGGGGAAACTGGAGGACCCGGAGAAAACCCACGAGGTTGGACAGGCGACCTACTCCTTGTCACGCACAACCGGGGATTCGAAACCACGCCAGTTGACTCAATGACAGGCCTTATGATACAGCACGCGCACGTACTAACCATTCGGCCATCCACCCCCCCCCCATCTGTAAATATAAAAATATGTGTGCATTATTTAAAGGCTCGGGGCGTCATCATCCCCGGTATCCCCAGTGGTCTTATTCCGTTCCACTCCACTAACCCCATAGGTTCAAATTATCTGCTATTTTTATCGAGCAATCAAAAAATCGTTATATACAAAGGAAGCTGGCGAAGGCAAGTACTCTCATCTCGTTGCAACAAACCTGCCGCCATATTGTATGAAACTAAGACCGGCTTGTAAACCTAGGGCCTATCTTCATCCTAATCTGATACGGTGTGTTTAGGTTGTTATGACATGTTTAATTACTCTAATATCTTCCTCTAGACGTAAGTGTGGGGGTGGGGTGGGGTGGGGGAGGAGTCGAGTCGAGTAACCTACGGTCTCTCTTCATCTTAATCTGACACGGTGTTCTTAGGTTGTTAAAGCATGTCTTCCTCTAGTTGTCAGGGTGGGGGATTGGGAGGAGTAGAGTGGATGACCTATGCTTTCTTCATCCTAATCTAACGCGATGTGTATAACAGGTCTAATATCTTCCTCTAGCCGCCAGGGTTTGGGATTGGAAGGGCCTCATAATAGTAATAGCCTAGGGCCTCTCTTCATCTAAATCCAACAGTGGTGTTCGACCTTAATAAATAAAATTTAAACATACTACAAGATGGTATGGCACAATCCTGCTTTACACAATCAGCGGTGAAGCACCACGGAGAATTTCTATAGGTGGTAGGGTTCCTACAATAATTTCCGACATCACCAGGGTTCTCATCAGCAAAATCTAGACCCACTATAGTACAAGACGCAGTGCTCCAGTCGGCACAGTTTTCTCCAGTCATGGTGAAATTCCAGTGACCTTTATAATCCCTCCCATTGGTTTCACGAGCACACTCTAAAGCTGAAACAAAATCAAAATAATTAACACTAGCGGTTGACCTGGCGTAACACGGGTATAACTATGAACCGGAAGTAGTATTATTCCAAAACCGGAAGTGGTAGTCCATCGCCACCAGGCCTATGTTATTTCCCTGTCCGATCTACCCCAATACATCAAATTTCAGCCTCGGGACAGCCTCAGTGCAGCTGACAGCCCTGAATAGACAGACAGGCAGACAAACAAACGACAATCACAAATATTAGTATAGATACATAAATTTAAACACAATTAAAGAACATGTTGTACGATATATATACCAGGAGTTGATCATGCTGCAACAACCATCATTGTCATAGCAGTCCATGATGTTTTAAAAAATATCAAAAGGTTTCGATTCTCTTGTAGATATTGTTGTATATATCAAATAATTACATCACCTATATTTCGTATATATCATTTACACATGAAACTATAATACACGTATAGGGAATAACTTATATATATAGGCTGTTCAGTCCTTTTCAAATGAATAAAAGATGTCGTCATGGAAATGTACAATTCATTAAATTCCCCCAAAATATAATTAACAAAATGGTACAACTGCTGTAATAGGTTAATGTGTATACAAAGTTTCATAAAGATATCTTGAGCATTAGCGACCCCATACCTTGTCACGAACAAGCGGAGAACCGAAACCACGACACTTGACTCAATGCAGATCTTATGATATCAGAATCTTACGCGTGCGTCTTAACTCAACAGTCAATTGATTTTACATACCTTTACCATTCCATGGTGTACCAAATATTCTTACTTCACATAAAGCCATCTCATCTGTTGATTCAATGACGACAGTTCTGCCGATTGGGAACTGTTGACATCGAAATGTTCGAACGGTAGGATAATTCGTATCTATAACCCGACAGCTCGAGTTCTTAAATGTACCAATGACATGAACCGCCAGATTCTCCCAAGTTATGTTAGCTGAAAGGAAAAATCAAAACATATACAGGATTATCCAATGTTAATTCAACGCAAATGGTGTGACGGGACCACTGATTTAAGGCCGGATTATCCAATATTATTTCAACACCAATGGTGTGCCGGGACCGCTGATTGATGTCGTAATTCGGAAATAAACCGGGATATGAAAATGATGATGGATTTCACAGAATGCCGTTGTATTCAGATGTCGGAAGTGACAGTCCACTGTATTATGCCAAGCCTATAATCAGTTTTCTAGGCCTGACCATTGGATAGCTTAGATAGTTATCTCTGTAATAGATGACTGCCTTCAACACATGACGTCATATCACGCGGCGTCAATCATTGGCTCTATGGCGTGTGCATTGTTTACATAAGACGTTACTGATTCGAGGATAATGGCGACTTTTACTCATTTCAATACCTATTTACACTAAAAAAGGAAATAATTTTTACCGACAAATACTTCAAACGTCTTTATTTATTTTTCTAATACACAAAAAAATGTTTTAGAATTTAATTTGTCGGAGGAAAAAAGTTAATATTCGTGGTTCATTAAGTCGCATCGATCTCATCCTTATCAATGATTGTCGCGGCCTAGCGAATATTCACTGCGGATCAGTGTGGGAATTTTCTGTCGGAGTGTTTTTGTAATACCTGAAAATGTACGGTACACTGCTGTACGATTTTCATGTGGCACACTTTTGAGCTAATCTGTTATAATTGGGAGGCATGGCATTTTGGGCGTGGAATACCACACTCACCACCTGATAGATACCCGGCAGACTTACATTCTGATGATACCAGATATACATGCATTGATACCATATAGGAGAAAATTGGTACACTTTTCAGCTAGGTTGCCCCCACCCCACATCCTCTGAGCTCCCACTCTATCTATTTGTGAACTATTATACCGAGAACTGTCGGCTGTTTATCTAATTCTTAGATATATCAAACAACTTTGTACAGGTGGATGTTCAAGCTAAAGTTTGCTAAACGCTGACGACTCAGCAGTTGGGCGTATATTATTGGTTTATTAAGGGTCGATCTTTTGATGGACTGATGATTTTAGCTTAGGATTACAGTTCAGGATGCGTGCATGTTTTCATTTGATGGCTTGTATTTTGTATACGGTAAGACAGTAGTTATATAGACCTTTAATTATGTGTTTAATTACGGAACTTTCGGTCCGTAAATGGAGCATACTAAACTTACACTGTTAGCTCCGCTTGAGAACAGACACTAAGCTAGTTGACCCACATTTTTAGTCCTAAATCGACGATTTTAGTCCAAAACACAAAGTATACTTCGAGAATTTTGTTGAATATTAATTCTGCTTCCATTCAATAAAATTGAATAAACTTATTTTGTTTTTGTGTGTATGGCAGATGTGAAACGGAGATGGACCGCATTACAAAAAAGTATACTAATGTTTGGATATGGCGGCCATTTAGGGCAGAGATCTATTCTCGAAGTATGAAGTAGATGGATCGCTGTGTGCATAATGGAAATAGGGTTTACCGTCCTACTTTTCCACACCATCTGGGCTAATGAAGACGACGGGCATACACCAGGCTTTGTTCTATGAGGGAACAATTTCCAGGACAGAGTTTTTTCCCGAATACTCTTTGTCGAATTTCAGATGTTTACGTGTGCAATACCAGGGAACAGAAGTGTGTCATCGTACTCTTTTTTGTGCCCACACTTTCATAATGTTAACTTATATTGTCGTCGCCTCTGTTAATCCGGACGTCAGTCCACAATTTGTTTGTAAACACACCAAAGGTCACAATTTGTATCCGATTTTGACGAAACTTGAATTGGCATGTATCGGAAGGCAACTGCATGGATTATGACCCCTGATTGTACGAAAAATCACATTTTTAGCTTGTGGACATTCTAGAGATAACAATTTTTATCTGATTGTGATGAAACTTAAAATATATGTTTATATCCCAAGAGCTCAGTTCCTTTCGATATTCGATATTCAAACCATAACGTTCCGGATTATAGCACCCGATTGCACGAAAAATCACGTTTCTTTTTAGCTTGTTCTCTATACACCTTTGCAAAATGTAAGTGTATCGTGCATGGCATCGGTTGGTCATTTTAGGCCCCGTCCAAATTATTCAGCACATTTACTGTCTCCAATTTCGTAGGTTTTCTCCGGGTCCTCCGGTTTTCTCCCACTGCTAACAAACCCTACGCGCCAGCGAATTATTGAAATAAAATTGAACAAAATCTCGAAAGTTCTTACCGCTCCTCTACAACGTCCAATCTTAACTATGTATCATGAATGCGGCGTTTACCTGATTGGGACACCACTCCTATATAATATAATGAATGAATTTACATGACACGGTCACCACTACTTTGGAGACTTTATCTAAGTTACTACTCGACTACCAAGCCCACCCTAGCTGGGAGTATCGTGTAGGGGCACAACCTCTATACAATATAATGAGTGAATTTACCAGATATTTAACTTACTACTCGACTACCAAGCCCACCTTAGCTGAGTTTACCGGATAGGGGCACAACTACTATACAATATAATGAGTGAATTTACCTGATACGGTGACAACTACTCTGGAGACTTCATAGACTTTATCTAAGTTAAAACTATATATAAATACAGATGAGTTTGTACAGGTATCATCTATATCATCAGTTAATAGATTAATATCATCTATCATAGTTATATTCGGTAGAATCAACGATAGGTTAGGATCCTCTGAAACACAAACACAACAATTTTATGAAAACCTAGCGGATGACCCAGCATTGCACGGGTTTAAAGTAGCATAGCTCCGAAACCGGAAGCGGTAGTCTAACGCCCTGAAACAAAAACACGACAATTTTATGAAAAACTAGCAGATGGACCAACACTGCACGGCATTAAAGTAGTATAACAACGAAACCGGAAGCGGTAGTCCAACGCCACCTAGCCCATGTTATATTCGTTAGAATCAACGATCGGTTGGGATCTTCTGAAACACAAATAAAGCTATTTATAAAAAACTAGCGGATGACCCTTCGGTACACGGGTTTAAAGTAGTATATTTTAGAAACCGGAAGCGGTAGTCCAACGCCACCTAGCACATGTTTTCCCCAGCGCGAGCTACTCCTATACACCAAATGTCATGTACGTCAGCCTCGGGACAGCCCAAGTGTAGCCGCTAACCCTGAACAGACAAACGACAGTCACAAATATTGGTCTAGATTGCTTCAAAATAAATTAAAGACGTGACTTTAGCACTATACAAATCCCCGAGAAACCACAATATTGTGACTAAAATAGCTTTACAGTTAGCATAAAACTAAGGTATTCTGGAAGCAAAGCCTATTCTAACGTGCGTATACATGCATGAGCGTGCCTCGGGTGAAATATGCGCACTTGACATGGCAGTTACTCGTATACGTCTTCTCATGTGGGACTTATCTTATATGTCTCTAGGGAGCCACGGTGTTTGATCCCTGCATTGGCCGAGAAAGTTCATCGGATTTTCCGACGTTGTTCCCCCTTGTCACTGGTTCAGGACGGAGGGCCTGACATGGACAAAACGTACATATCCCTTGGCAGTTGGAATTCGATATAAGAGTAGGCCATAGTGCCGCTGCCCGGGTCAAACTTATATCATAACACACTGTATGGCGTATGCACGTCTTCATTAGCCCAGTCGGAGCAGAACAGTAGGAAGTTAAACACCATTTCATTTAAATTTCATTTCATTTGTTTATGTCCCATAAAAGTGAAACTGTTTCAATTTCAGGATGATAATGATTGAGGCCAATTTAAATCTATACCTCGAATAATATTGGCTAAGGATTATTGGGGGGGGGGGGGGTGGATGGCTAAATTGTTAGCGTGTGCGCACTGTATCATACAGTCTGTCATTGAGTCAACTGGCGTGGTATTGATTCCCCGGTTGTACGTGACAAGTAGTAAGGTCGCCTTCCAACGTCGGGGGTTTTCTCCGGGTTTTCTACCACTGCTAAAGACCCCTACGCGCAAGCGAATTATTGAAATGAAATTAAACCAAATGTTAGTGCCGAAATGACCTAGTTTGTGTCGAGTGGATGTTAAACCTCATTTCTCTCTCTCTCTCTCTCTCTCTCTCTCTCTCTCTCTCTCTCTCTCTAATCCAAATATATATCTTGTATAATATTGGCTAAGGATTATGAAAGCTACAAGACATGACACTGACGCCTATAACGTCACATCCGGTGTGCTTATATGTCCCATAAATGTGAAACCGTTTAAATTTCAGGGTGTGAATGGCTGAAGCTAATTCAAATCTATATCTTGAAGAATATTGGGCCAAGGATCATGACGTTGACGCCTATAACGTCACATCCGTCATGCTTATATGTCGCATTTAAAGGTGTGTACAATATCGGGTTAGAGATTATGAAAATTGTATTACCAGTACACGCGAGTTTATTTGAAGACCATTTCCTCGATATACCACATGCGCTACCTGCAGAGCCACCTTGATTGTAGAAATCGTTAGCACAAGTAAAACTAGCTTCATTAGCGTCTTCATCTCTAGTATAAATCTTTGGATAAGAAAATATTGGTCGCCCACAATCCGCTAAACAATAATAGATTAAAACAAAAACACATTTATGTATGTAAATTTAATTCAGATGAGTTAATAAAAGGTTGAATATTGCATGAATAGCTGGGGGTTATGGGGGGGGGGGGTCAATAGTTAGCGCGTGCGCGTTTATCATAAGGTCTGTCATTGAGTCAACTGGCGTGGTTTCGATTTCCCGGTTGTACGTGACATGGAGTAGGATCGCCGGTTCAACCTCATGGATTTTCTCCGGGTCCTCCCACTGCTAAGGACCCCTCTCTCTCTCTTGCAATGGGAATGTGTACGGAAATGTGACGTAATATTGTCATCAATGTTTAAAGGGGCATTAGGTAAGATTAGATAAAGAGCTGACAGTTAAAAAAATAGATAATGAAAAAATAATTCTGAAAATTGCTTCACTCTGAACCGAGATATTTACGATTTAATTTTAGGCTATCCTCGATCATCATTACAAATGCTAAAAAATGTTGGGCCGTGTTTACGGAATTCTCCAACAAGTTCAAACATATTTAGATATCTTAATACAAAAGCTAAAAAATGTTGGGCCGTGTGAACGGATGTCTCCAAGTTCAAACATATTTAGATATCTTAATACAAATGCTAAAAAATTTTGGGCCGTGTGGACGGAATTCCCCAAAAAATCTGAATAATTTGATAAAAATGTTAAAAAAATGTTTGAACGGAACGGAGGATACTCTCACCGTTATCAAGAAATGATACAATCAAACATGTTACAGAAGGCTGTATCATTGCTTGATAACGGTGTGAGAGTATCCTCATTGAAACGTTGCAGTTAATAAACCTAGTGAATGTTCTCCATAAAGTTGTCTGTTTATTATATATCGCGTTTACTAAATGCCTTTCAAAGACATATCAATTGATGTTTGACGGAATTCAAGATATCGCCATATAAATCTCAAAGAAACTTGGACCGTGCGACTTTAAACCGAATGTTGGGCCGTGTAAACAGATTTCTTACACAATTTCAAACACTCGGGCCCAATACTTAACATTCCACCATACAAATCTGGGTATTGTTTTGGATAAATGTACGATGTTCTAGACGAGGCTGGAGTCTTACCTATTCTTTTCCTGCCACGTATATCAATATTACACAACGTGAGGACACCAGAGAATGGGAAATGCCCTCTAAACGATAGTTTGCTTCCATAAGCCACGTTGTACCTCTTATATGTGTTCCCTTCGATTGGATCAAGTATTTTCTTGACTTGTTGATGTTCAACCCGTATTGAAATGTTATTTGGCATGGCATCTGAAAAATAAAAAGCCATAATATAGCTTTGAATACAGATGTGACGTCATTCTTTGATGTTGACATTTGAAATAATGGTACGGACAATGTACCAAGCGTACATTATTTACATAGTTGAAATTTCGGACCCGCGTGACGTATTTCATTGCAAAGTACATGTGAGTGTCTGTAGTTTAAGTTGTTTAATGGTTTCGACCTTAAGACATTGTAGAATATATTAAAACAATACTCGGGGACTAACGTCCCTCGTGTTGCTTCAATATATTCTAGCCCTCGACCATTAAACCACACACATACTCCTCGCTTTGTAGCGTTTAATTATACCCCGTTCAATTTAAACGCTGCTGGACTGGCTGTTTATTCCCGTCCCCAAATTATTACAGGTTGACAGTCGAATTGACAATCTTTTAATATATTTGTCCGACAAACGGACTGCCTTGTTACGTAGTCTACATACTAAAATTCAGCTTCCTGTCTACAATTAGCGCCACTTGAAAGCAGACACTAATCTTGTTGACCGACATTTTAAGTCCTAAATCGACGATTTTAGTCGAAGCACTTAGTATATACTTCGAGAATTTTGAGAAGTATTTATTCTGCTTCCATTTAATGGAATAGGTTTATTTAGTCTTTGTGTGTATGCCAGATGTGAAATGGAGTAGAATCGCCTTACAAAACCACATACTAAGTTTTGGATATGGCGACCATTCAGGACAGAGATTTATTCTCGAAGTATGAAGTAGACGGATCTCTGTGTGCAGAATGTGATAGTCTAGTAGGATTTCTGAGATATTTGAATGTTAGAAGCATCTTCGGGTAACCAGACTTGCTGAATCCGATAAACCCGGTTCTCAAATAAAATTCTGAGATTAGAACTGCCTAATTTGCATAATCAAAATGGCTGCCAAATTGTCAATTTTGATCGTAGCTTGAACTATATTAAAGAAGTCTTCACAATCACTTGAAATACTAAGAAAAGTAAACTCTTGTATATATTTGGTTTATTTGATCGTCACACAATCTAATTAAAATATGAAATTCCCACTGCCAACGTGCACGAAAATCTATCATGGGGCCTCGGTTTTTTTCTTATCCGAACGACTAGACAGCTGTCTGTGCCATGCTTTCCGTCATGCACCACTGACAAGGGTAAACCACGCTGCAAAATGCCACAATCTGATTAAAATACAGATCTATATTTCGTTTCGTTTTTTTCTACTTTCGAAGGCCTACACTACATGTAGATCTGACAAGTTATAGTGGGAGTTCACGTTCTATGACGTCAGGTACCAAGCAAGAGACATTTGACCCGATTACGTCAGTCATTCGATTACCCAATTAGCGACCGCCATGTATTTTTTATCTACTTTTGCTTTGTTTTGATTTCTATTGCCGCTAATGTCTACCGACAGTTCCGCGCAAAAAAGGTCAAACGCTCGATTCCACAGAACATTTGATTGGCTGACCCCTCATTTCAAGCAGAACACCAGTTAAATAACAACGCTTCTAGATCCAAGTGTAGTAAAGACAAGTAAAATCGAAATTTTGAACTATAAAAACGAAACGAAATTGGATCTGTGTTTTAATGAGATTGATCGTCACATGAACTACATAATCTCTATAAGTATGGAGGACATACACGTATATTTACTGGACATGACAGTTACTCATACTACATCATATTACCTCCCCTACGCCCAAGTGAATTATTGAATTAAAACTGAACCATATGTTAGTCCCGAAATGACCTAGTTTGTATCGAGTGGACGTTAAACCCCACCCCTCTCTCTCTCTCTCTCTCTATCTATCTATCTATCTCTCCCTCACTCTCTCTGTCTGTCTGTGTGTGTGTGTCTCTCTCTCATATTACATCACATCCGGGGTGCTTACCTGGTGGCTAAGTGGGTAAGACGCTGTCTCACTAGCCTGGAGGTCGGGTGTTCGATCCCTGCATTGGCCGAGAAAGTTCATCCAGATTTTCCGGCGTGGTTCCCCCCTTGTCAGTGATGCAGGACAGACGGCCTGACAAGTACAAGTAAATGGTCCCTTGACAGTTGGAATTCGATATACGAGTAGACCGTAGTGCCGCTGTCCGGGTAAAATTTCCCTCACAGCACACTGTATGGCGTATGCCCGTCTTCATTAGTCCAGCCGGTTTAGTAAAGTAGGACATTAAACCCCATTTCATTTCATTTCATTTCTCTCTCCCCCCCCCCCTCTCTCTCTCTCTCCAACTTACCTGAAGTATTAGGGAAAGTAAACTCGACTTTATAAATATCATAAATGTTCCCCAGATCTATGGTTAAATAAGGAGAGTTTTCCAGGCCAGTGGAGTAACATGTACACTGGGTTACGTTCGCAGCATCTACTGTGGTGAATGGCAACACGCCTCTCCCGTAATATCGCCTGGATGTAACGTCTCTGTTCGCGGCTAAGTTTCTTGGCTCTAAAATTAAAAGGAGTGTATTTTATTTTTATATGAAAGGCTCCCTGCGTGATTTGCGCGGCATCTACTGTGGTGAAGGGCAACACGCTTCTCCCGTAATATCGCCTGGATGTAACGTTACTGTTCGCGGATAAGTTTCGTGGCTCTAAAATTAAAAGGAGTGTAATTTATTTTAACGTTAAAGGATCAATGCGTGATTGGCGCGGCATCTACTGTGGTGAATGGCGACACGCTTTTCCAGTTAGATCATCTGGATGTAACGCTTCTGTTCGCAGCCTATTTTCATGGCTCTAAAATTACAAAAAGTGTTAATTTATTTTAATGGATGGGGCGAAAAACAGAGGCCATGTGTACACATTGGCGTAAACGTCAAAGATCCCTTGACGGTTGGAATTCGATATAAGAGTCGGCCGTAACGCCGCTGTCCGGGCAAAATTTTCCCTCATAACAAACTGTCGGAACAGAACAGTAATTGACAATTTTGTGCGGCGTATGTAAGTTTGCCTCCAACACCGCGGAGGCCATTTGGAACATATTTTGGAAAGCCACCAAGATAACTGAAGCTTTAGTGAATGATCGCACTCAGACTGAAGTTTGTAGGATTTAATACAAATTTTATGGGTTCTGTTTTTTGGGGGGTCACCCTGTAGTTAGGTGTTTGTCATTAGTGAGTTTAGATGACACAAAAAAGAACCCACAGCAAACTCCAACACCGCCCTAGCTCAAGTGTTGAATAAGGGGGTTGGGGATCGCCTATACAACCTCGTGGATTTTCTTCGAGTCCTCCATTTCTTGCAACAGCTAAAGCCCCCTACGCGCAAGAGAATTATTGAAATAAACTTAAACTATATGTTCGTGTAGAGTGACGTTAAACCTCTCTCTCTCTCTCTCTCTCTCTCTCTCTTATATGTTGAATAACTCGACGAACCTAAACACATGATTGCATCACCACTCCACTGATTTTCATCACAAGTTAGGGTCATTCCAGGTACCGTCACAAAGGTTTCATTACATTTGTATTCAGCAACATCACCAAAACTAGTTCCACTTAACGTAAAAAGATGAGCGCCATAATATGATGGTGGTTGTTCACAATAAGCTGGAAAAAAATAGACAACTATTCATTAAAGATACATAATGGGAGATTATATAAAGAGCTGGCAGTTCGCACTATAATAGTTAAAAACTAGATAATGTAAAGGGAATTTGCTGAAAATTTCAGTCAAATTGATCCACTCTG